CCTACGTCTGTATAGCGGTTCGCTCGTGTGCTGCTTCGCATCGACGTTTTCAAAAGGTTACGCGGGGCACACGCACTGATTTAAAATTTTTACTTTTAAACACTCTCGAACGAATTGATTCGTTGTTTCTTTTTTCCTTCCTTCAGTAACTGTTTATCGTTACAATTTTTTGTCCGGCTGGAATTTTCATTTAAACCACCACTCGGAATGTCGCGGATGAATATGATTTAAATTGCACGACCACGCCGTACGAGGATTTAATGAAATAAAATACAGACGTCGCCTGCCGGTATCAAAATTAAAAACGTTCCGATTACGAGAAAAGAACATCGTTGTTGCAACGGATCCGTCGATCTTGAAATATCACGCATATTTCCAAGGTGTCAGTGTTTCTGTTCGAAACTTACGTATCTACCTACAGAATCCTCTCGATTATCGTCCCGAACTCGGGTTCATCCCGAGACAATAATCTTGTAGGGAGAAATACTTCAGATCCTCGGAAATTCGTTTTTTAACCGAAGCTTGAACCTCGGGACCAAAAGTGGCGGAGACCACCATGGGTTTCACACCCCCTTCCAGTTGTAGGAATAATGACGTTGCTTCTGTCGCATTCATCGAGGGATCACTGTACTCAAAAGTTCCATGGAAAATTCGAGGAACGGCCGGCGGTAGAGGTATATCGATCGCAAGCAGCGATGTCGACGCAAAATTTGAAATTGCCGCTGGTATTACCGTCTTGCTCGCGGGAGACGTTAAACGCGAGGCGAGGCGAAGTGTGAGGCAGCCGTTAAATTAAGTGTCGCTTATTATAATTGCGACTTTAGAGAAATTATTCCGGCGCGTAACAATTCGGCGTTCCGACCACCCTCCCCTTTTTCATTGTTTCTTTCCTCCTCGTTTCGCCTTTCATACTTTTACGACGGCTCTCCGGGGGCAGTAAAGCGGGCGCTCCCCTCCACCCCGCGAACGGAATCGGCTCGTCCTTTCAACTTTTTTACGCTCTCGAAAAAAATAAAGCTCCGAGCATAAGAAGCGATACTGTGCTGGGGGAACGGTTACGCTCGAGCACGAAATGAAACGCAGCTGTTATCGCGGATCTTGCTTTGGAAATTTATCGAATTCCCGCGCTCCGCCTCGATTTCCTGTTTCGTCCGTTCCACGGTTGCCTCGAGCCAGTCGATTCGGGGACCTCGCGATTTAATAAGGATTCGCGCGTTCCCTAGCGCGACGCGTTGTTACGGACGGAACATTTCTGGCGATTGTCCAGACTCCACGTACGTTACCACGGCCGATCGAAATGATCCACGACTGGTCTGAAACCACGATAAGAGGGAGGGTTTACAGTTCAATCCCCGAGCATTTGTTAGACATTGGACGGAGGACAGAACGATTTTCGCGTCAATGACCGATCCAAGGGGGAGAGGAAAAAGTGTGCGCGCCGCGGGTACCGGGATATAATATCGTACGTTGTGTGTTTGCTCGTGTCGGAAGGAGAGCGCGTCGTCGAATTCCGGATACGGAACAGAAACATTCCGGCACCGGTAGCGACGCTTTATTGCGATTTTTATATTTCATTCCGTTGGGGTCCGGCCCGATCAAAAGCACTCTGCAGTATGCATGGGGACTCCGATCTACCTTCGGTACCCTGGCCGCTGGTGGGGCTCGATTGCGCCGCGAGAGACCAGAGGAAAAAGCGAACAAGAGGATATTCGCGGACCGAGAGAGTGAGAGAGAGATACAGAGAGAAAGAGAACGAACGCCAGGACGAAGCAACCCGGTGATTCGACGAAGAGAGTCGACGTCATTGCGAGAGAGACGAGTATAGCGAGTCGAGATAGATAGAGAGAGGGATAGATGAGGAGGAAGACAGAACGAGAGGAAACACCAATTTTTCACCCTCGAATAAAATTATTATCGACGAATGAGTAAGTGGGTTGCAGGTTATCGGGTAGGAGGCGCGGGTTGGCCGCGTCGGGTCGCGGCAGCAGTCGGGGGTGCGGAGTAGGGGACGAAGGGGGGTGGGTAACCCGCGATGGATGGCGTTTGGAAAAGCTCGCGGCACCGAAGGAGAAAGAACGAGGGAGACGGCGCGCGGTCCACGCGGTGGGAGAAAGAGCGCGGTCGGCTCATTTTTAATATTTAAAATTTAATTTACAAAATGCCACCGGCCTACCCTCTTCCGCGTTCGAGGCACTCCGCGCCGCGCACCGGAACGCAATCGTTACAGTTTCGCTTACTCGTCGGCCCGATGTGTTTCGCTCGAATCACCCTCCGGTCGCCCTTCCCATTTTCACCCTTCGATGACTCTATATCGTTCTTTCGACGCGCTGCGTTGACCATCGCCACGTTCCCATCGTTCTTTTCCCGTCCAGGGAATCTCGAGCGAAAACTCGCGTGCAAACTTCTGGATCGCCGTGCGTCGTCTCCTCGAGAGTCAGGGTCAAGCAATTACTGGGGCAAGGATGAAGGGATGAAGGGTAGCACGTGGAGCTCACGGTTTACTAGGAAGCAGAGACGACACGTGTATATAGACAACAGCAGTTGTTGCGGGACCTCACCCTCGTACGGCGGCGAGCCTCGAGAAAGGGCCGGAGGCCGATTATTTGCGCGCAACGCCCGGTGTCATTGTTATCCTCGTCGTCGCCGTTGTCCCCGCCCCCTCCCCTTACCGCGGTCGTTATTGCCATCTCGCGCTATGACAATTCCACTTTTATCGATCGTTCCGCGCGCCGGCCGGACGACCAAGCCGCCCGCGTCTCTATCTTCTTCGTTCGCCTCATGCATCCTTTTCCCTCGGCCAACCCTATCTTCGTCGTTCTGTTTACGGTGCTCGTCGCGAGGGAGATAGCAGGCGCCTCGACGAAACTTAAGCGGTCGTGTACCTTAGGTATACGTGCTGGAGGCGGGCGGCGGCGACGGCGGCTTCGCGTGTACCTACATAATACGATGTAAGTTACGACGCGCCAT